GCTTGAGCAGCTAGGGAAATCATCCTGGAAATCAGCATAACACCTTTTTAACTTTTACCAAATGTTTTAGATCTTTCCCCCAGAAATCCAATGTTGACTTCAGTGCAACCGACAGGAAGACAAACTACGTGATAAAATAGAAAAGGCTTTCAATTTATGTTATTCCGCATAAGGCCGAAAAGCAGCCTCACATTTCAGATAGTGTTTGTCATGTTGCTTGATGAGTGGCTTGGACTATTCTCTTTAATATTTATATAGATTTTATAATATCGCTGTCTTTTGATATGTTATATATATATCAGAGGACAATGTGTCACTGCTATGATTGTGTTTGCAGGAGTGACGTCTGTCAGTGTGGATGTGGGTAAGGAGGAGGTGTTGGTGGATTCCACTCTCACCACTGCAGAGGTGCAGGCTCTGATAGAGAGCACCGGACGCAGAGCCGTGCTGAAAGGCATGGGAGGATCAGAGCAAGGTGAGAAACTGCTGGACAGGAGTACGGCTGGGAATCAAACCGCCATACCTTTATACAGTACAATACATGTGTTGTAAATGTTCCAAAAAACAGCTTGGATTTGGCATGATGAATTTCATCAATTCTTAATCAATTGTAGATGAAAAAAGTCAAACCCTATACATAGACATAAACAGAAAAGTGTGTGTGTGTCAGGATGCATCTTCAAGGTTCAAGGTTCTTTATTTTCTCATACAAACATAGCTACAGTGAAGTTATGCTGATGAAAATCTTAGGTCACAGGCTTCTCCAACAGTGCAACACAATAACACAGATAAACAGACAAATATAGTGCAAGTAAATAGTAAATACAAAAAGAAAAATAGTTTAAAAAAGTGAAATAGTGCAATAAGAGTCTACGTGCAAGTTATTGGAATGATATAATAGATAAATAATTACTAAGTAGCAGATGACTGTTATGGATGTTGTTTCAACAGTTCTGGGGCCGTATTCACAAAGGATCTTAGGGCTAAAAGTAGCTCCTAACTGGTGAATTTAGGAGAAACTCCTAAACATAGTGGGCGTGTCGGTCTTAAATTTAGGACTCCTAATTTTATTCACTAAGAGCAATTCACAAAGTATTTTAGGCCTAAAAGTAGCACCTAAGTTTAGGAGAGCTTAAAAGTCCTCGAGAGGACTCCTAACTCAGTAAGACCTATTCACAAAGAATCTGAAAATGGCTGCGAGACGAAATGTTTTGGAGACAATGGAAGACTGTGAATTGATCAAGAGATATAGGCTAAATCGTGAGGGTATCAAACTTGTTGTGGAATTAGTGCGGGATGCAATAACATCCCCGACTAACAGGAATAACCCAATTAGTCCGGAAATAAAATGTTTGGCAACACTACGATATTTAGCAACAGGGAAAATGCAACTTTGCAATGCCGACGATTTAGGAATATCGCAACCATCAGTCAGCCGTGCCATAAACCAAACCATCAACGCGCTCTCTAGACCACATATCATCCAACAGTTTATCNGTGTGCCTTGGCAGTCTCAGGTACAAACTACCTTTCTTTAAATAATTAACTCAATCAAGTTTAAAGAAGCACAATAAAAAAAAATGTAACTAGTGCATTACGTATATTAAAACCGACTTTTTATACGCTTTCGACAATAACAATATTGAAAAGGAGTCCTTAAAATGGTTTAAGGAGAAAGTGCCCGGCTGAGGCTACTCCTCCCCCCTTCACATCATTGCGTGCACCACCATGTGAAACCCCTGCTTTTGACCCACCTTTCCCCAGAGTTCCCGGTCTGTTTGGAGAGAGGGTGATCGCCCCAACCCAGGTCGTCCTCCCCCGCATCGACCACCAGCGACCGGCCAATCACATCCCACACCTGCAGCCAGCACCAAGGTATCACAGAAGAAGAGATTAAATAGATGTCATCTGGTGTTGTTTAATGTGGATTTATGACAGGCTTAAGATGTTTTTAATAAAGCTTATAGTTAGGGCTGGCTCAGGCTTACATTAACCCAGCACTTAGTTATGCTGCTATAGGCTTAGATAGCAGCATAACTAAGTGCGAGAGACTTTCACCTTTCATTTTTTCCTCTCTTCCTATCAACCTCTTTGTTCATGTTCCATAAATGCCTGTTACTAAGTCAGCATGCTGGGCATCATGATTTTATTTTGATGGGTTTCTTTGCAAGCTTCTCCCTGTGCGCTGTGAGGGTCCAAGCGCAAAGGTAAACATATGCTGTGTAGACTGTGAACCCCTAAAACAGACATTTTATTTATATTTGGCTGTATAAATAAAATGTGACATCTAAAGCCCAATAAACTGTAGTTACAAGCCGTTATGCAATGTGTGTGTGTGTGTGTGTGTGTGTGTGTGTGTGTGTGTGTGTGTGTGTGTGTGTGTGTGTGTGTGTGTGTGTGTGTGTGTGTGTGTGTGTGTGTGTGTGTTTGAGAGTGTGTGNAATTGAAATGCAGTTAGTACAAACTACCTTTCTTTAAATAATTAACTCAATCAAGTTTAAAGAAGCACAATTTAAAAAAAATGTAACTAGTGCATTACGACGTAATGCACTAGTTACATTTTTTTTAAATTGTGCTTCTTTAAACTTGATTGAGTTAATTATTTAAAGAAAGGTAGTTTGTACTAACTGCATTTCAATTGAACAAAATTGGATAGCTTTGTTAAACTACTAGCTTCAAGGTTGGGACTAATTATTATTAATTATTGATAAGCAATCTTTAAAGCTGTATTCAAGGAATCGCTGGCCTTTTGAAACAGGTTTTTAATTGTTTTTAAACTCTCTCTCTATGTCTCTCCTCTGCAGACTGGCCTGTGGGATCATCGCCCGATCAGCAGGTCTTTTCCAAAATGCAAAACAGATTTGTGCGTGTGACGGGGTCACGCTGTGGGAGGAGAGAGACCGGCCCATCGCAGGGAAAGGCCGGAGCAAAGCCAGCACAGAGACCCCTGCTGCACACCTCTGAACCTGAGACACAAACACGATCATATCTCTAACCTGTGGACAGTAAAGGGCACATCGGAGAGAAATGCAGAGGACATTTGCTGATAGAGGGTCAAAGCTGAAGCGAGGAAAACAAAGAGTACTTAGGAAAACGTTTACACACAGCTGGACGGACGACCAAAGATGAAAAGCCTTAGTTTCATGATTTCTTTCTTTGTGTCAAAATCAAATCCTCCTGCGGTCGCACACTATGTCCTCGGAGGATTCTAAAGCGGATTAAATCCACATGGGACTTTGTGAAAGTCACCTTTGATTAGCTAGATTTAATTTAATATGTTTGTATAACCAGTCCCCTCTGACACGCTTGTCACATCACTGTCTCATTGGATGTATTGGCTGGGATGAATGCGCTGTAGTCTGGCATTAAAAATGTCTACTTTAATTATATACGCCTCCTAAAAACAGTAGGAGTATCTATTAAGAGGAAAATCAACACACAAATGGGATTACAAAGCGGTGTCATGCTAATATTTAGTATATTCACTGTCATGTAGACTTTCTCAACCTAAGTAACCTGTAACACTTAGTGTTTTTATTGAGAATGCATTGAAAAAATACCCAGAAAGGCTACAGAAAAGTCCAAATACAAACCTAAAATGTAGGACAATTGGTGGAAACATCAAATGATGGGCACTCCTGGTAGTAACTGTAGCCTAAACATTGACAATCCCAAAGTTATGGATTCACATGTCCAGGATGAATCCCAATGTGATATCTTAAAGAAATCCATCTATGAAGGGTCACAATAAGAGTGTGATCGACGTAAATATTCGCCGTTAGCTGAATTTGGACCTCACTTGTGTCCACCATTGGTGTGTTCATTTTGAATCCATAAGGTGGTGTGAGTGACTCGGCTAAGAGAGATTTAAAAGAGAGAGAGAGAGAGTCAAATTCCACCGAGAGTGAAAGGCCGAGGGGGGGTTAAAGTTTGAGGGGGGGCTTCCTTGAAGGACTGTTCCCTCAGCTGTCTTCACAACATGGAGACTGGGTGTACAATTACCTTAGCAGCTTACAGAAGAACTGTAAATCGGCTTTGAATCAACCACTGTATTGTCTTGATGATTGAGGTATAATATAATAACGTAAAACCTCTACCTCTGGCCACTTGTTGATTTCTGCTAACTCTTGATGAAGACATCAATATTGGCAGTGTGTGTGTGTGCGCCCAATCTTTTGTCCATATGAGAGTGTTGCCAGTTTTGCATTGATTTTCTAGCAAATTGAGCATCTGTCTTGTCCTGGTGGTGCATGAATAGGCTTATTCAATTTCCCCCAAAATGTCCACTCGCTGGTGTCTTTTTCCATCTGTATCTGAGGGCTGCGAACACAACTTGAATGTACAATCGATGTTTGTTCAAATTATCGATTCACGCCTGGAGTATTTTCAATTAATAATTGAATCTATACGTTTTGGGGAATGGTGGAAATGTGCTATTTTCTTTAAAACTCTGTTTTTTCTCCAACTTTTAATCAAAGAAAGTGATATAAATCAGAAAAACTGGAACATTTAAGAAGCTAAAACAAGTGAATGTGTTGTTTTTTTGCTGACTCATTTCCTGCTTGAAGCTGTGTGTCATTAGCAGTAATTTCACACTTGATCTGTCCTCTTAAGCAAATGTGATATATATTTTTCACAGCAGATAAATGAGCTCTTTGATTAAACTCCCTTTGGAGCTGACCCCCTATGGCTATAAAGAAGGCTGCCTTTGTTCTTCTAGGGGCTTTTGATCATTAAAACAGCTTTATACAGTGGTGTAAAGTAACTTAGGACATTACTCAAGTACCTAATTACAACTTTGAGGGACTTCATATTTCAATATACATATAATATATATTCTGAAATGGGCAAGTAGTTCTTATACTTTTCCTGAAAAGGAGAAAAGTGCATTATTACAACAGCAGAAGTGAACTGCAGATAAAGAAAAGAGAATAGACTTACATATGCACACATTATTAATAATAATTTTAAAAAACACATAAATCCTTATCAAAAAAAAGTATCAGTATGTTTATAAAAAAGAAAAAAGTGACCATATAAAATAAAAAAGGTTGTAAATAAATTGAGAGAAAGGTATATTGAAGGTCTATTGCACATCGTTTTATATTAACAGGCAGGGTTATTGCACAGTGTGTGGTGGTCCTTTACTAAGATCTGTGTACTTCTTCCACCTCTTGCTCCAGACTGTCTGTGTCCTGTGTCTGTGTGTACTTTGTGTACTGTGTGTTATTACTGGTATTGAGCATCCTCTGGTGCAGCAGCAGCCCTCCCCCTCCTCTCCAGCAGAATGCCCGACATGCAAACGGAAGCAGGCGCTACCATTTTGAAACACAGCACCGCCTAGGTAAGATGGTAGATCCTTTTATTTAATCTCCTCTTTTCTTGCAGTATTTACTCTCTCTATCTGATCCGCGTGGGAGCACAATATTAATAAACCCGATTTGTCTTTATGCGCGGGTGTTTGTGCCGGGTATGTGAAAGATAAGACGACTATTGTAGTGCGTGTTGTTGCACGGAATGTCTCGGTGTTGCACTGTGTCCATTCCTGTGCGGAAAAAAATGTGCTTGCTTATTGAGAGCCAGTTGTATCAGGTGTTATGTGTTTAACATTGTTGCATATTTTTTCAGAGTAAATGTGTGTGTGTTAATGCTTGTTTTTGCCTTTATGGTGTGTTTCTCTGGATAGCCATTACGCATCCTGTGTCGCTATTCACGTTATCCACATGGACAATACATTTTAGGCTGTGTTTAACCAACTTAACGTGCCGTTTTTCGCAATCTTTTTTGTTTTTCTCGCTTTTTAAAAGACCCTAATGTGAGAATGTGTTGACTCAGCGTCGTGCTGCGTCATCAGAAAAGCAGCTTCCCCCCTTGTTATTCCTCCCATGAACCCAGTGTTAATGCAGCAGCCATATGTAACACTACAGTATAGAAAACTTGCTTTACATGTTCCTTAAGCTGCTGCTGTACAGTAGGTGTAGTTCGCCCAGCAGCTGACTGGAGGCTACACCAAAAAATAGAAATGTCATTCTCTGGTGTCATGTTCCTCTTTGCCCTTTGATTTACAGCCTGCCATAAAGGTTGTTCTGGAGGAGGTAAAGAAGGTGTTGTCCAACCTGTAGAAACACTCCTTAGTTTGACATTTTAGAAGCAGTGAGAGGGTCCTTTCTGTTCCACAAACCCCCAAAGATCATCACTATAAATGCCATGTTAATTAAGGGTATTACTGTAAAATGCTCCTTTTCCCTGGGTGTCTCTTGTGTGTCATAGCAGTTCTGGTAATTACACCTTTCTCAATCTGCAATGAGATCCTCTTTTAAGCTGCCTTTGCTCAACGATAACTATGGAAATGATCAACCTTTTATCTACAGACAATGTGTATCCCTTGCTTCCTCTTCTGTATTTACCTAGTTTGACTTTATGGCCGGCTCCCATGCAAATGTGAGGCCTGTGTGGTTTTTAATTTGCAATATTTTGAAATCTGGCTGCTCATTCATGCACAGAGCTTCCTTATCCTCCAACTAAATTGCTGCAATAGTTAGAGCTTAATCTTTGCACCTTCAGCTTTATCTCTGAATAATGAGCCCTGAAAAAAAACTAAAAAGCTGGGTCAGCTATTTCCCTTTGTGCAGCCGAACCCCCCCTCTTGTATTTAGATAATTGCACCCCTGTACTTCCATCTCCTCCTCAGACCGAGCGGCTTTGTTCTTGCTCAATGTATAGTGTTAGGCAGAGGGGGGAAGTAACTAAGTACATTTGCTCAAGTGAATTTTGTTTAGGTACTTTACATTTCCATTTTAAGCTACTTAATCCTTCTATTCCACTACAATTTAGAAGCCAATATTGTACTTTTTACAGAATATGGTTAGTTTACAGATTGACATTACCTCAATAGAACGTCAATTATTTAATATACTTTACATATAATTATAGGTGTAGATATCCAGCAGCAGTATATAAAGTAGATAAAAACATCTTTACCAGCTGTTATAGACACGAGTAATTTTGGTACTTAAGTATATTATGATGCCAATAATTTTGTACTTTTACTGAATTAGGATTTTGAATGCGGGATTTTTACTCGTAACAGAGTATTCCTACACTCTGGTACTTCTACTTCTGAGTACTTCTCCCACCCCTGGTGTTAAGTAATCCTATCTGTTATCTCTAACCACAGTCCTCTCTCTTTGTTCCTCTGCAGCGCCATGGACAAGAGCAACACAGTGAAGCTCTTCGTGGGCAACCTGGCGTTGGACACCACCCAGGAGGAGCTGTCGGCCATCTTTGAACCGTACGGCCAGGTGGTCAGCTGCAGCGTACTGCGACAGTTCGCCTTCGTCCACCTGCAGGGCGAGGGCTCCGCCGACAGAGCCATCCGGGAGCTCAATGGCCGGGAGTTTCGCGGACGCAATTTGGTTGTGGAGGAGTCGAGAGGACGGCCGTTACACTCCACCAAGGTGTTTGTGGGTAATCTGAGCGGGATGTGCACCACGGAGGATCTCCAGCAGCTGTTCCAGACATTTGGAAAAGTTTTGGAGTGTGATAAAGTTAAAGGTGAGCGTGTAACATTTCATTAGTTTTAAAGTACTGCCAGTAGCATCTCTCAAGTTGGGTTAGGTGTAAGAAAAATTGGAGGAAATAACACAGGGCAGATAAGAGATTATATCTGTGTATATATTTATTTATAAAGTTAATGAGATGGAAAGATAGATAAATGCTCAATTAATAAAAAATTGGGAAAGTATTTTGTTACAGCGCATTGTGTTCAGGCATTACAATATTTAAAAGCTGGAATAAAGTATAAACATAAGAAAATAAACATGAGCAGCAAATATATAAATATCTACAGTAGAAAAGACATACATCACAAGAATACACAATATAAAATAATGTCAAAAAGAGAGAGATTTAGAGTCCTGCTGTAAGTCTGACCATGTCAAAGTGTGCAAAAACTCCTGCATCCCTGTTTTAGAGATGGATAAGGTGGTTTCCGGTTGGCGTAATTCACATTTCTTCGTAGAAGTAATAAGTAAGTGCCCGTGGCAATGCCACTTCGATCCTAACTGTTGTCCCTGCGCTCAATGACAGCCAGGCATTCCTCTTCCGCAGGCTATGCCTTTGTCCACATGGAAAACAAGGAAGACGCGCTCCAGGCCATCGAGGCCCTGCACGGCACCTCGTTTAAGGGCCGCCCGCTGTCCGTGGAGCTGTCCAAGGTCCAGCCCAGCAAGCAGGCCCCGACAGGAAAGATCCCCTGTGTGAACTGTGGGAAGCAGGGCCACTATGCTGGAGAGTGTCCCGTGGGGAAGCCCTCTCTGGAGCAGTACCAGAGTCAGGCGGCTGTCCTGGCTGCCGCCGCTGCTGCCGCCGCCGGCCTGCCTCTGCAGGTCCAGCAGAGCGTGCACAATTCAGTCTACAACACCTCCACCTTTGACCCCACATACGCTGCTCTCACTGGGATCACCACTGGCACACGCACCGATGGAAACCCAGTGAACCCAGCTGTGTACGGGGCCCTCGCCAGCCAGGTGTATGGTGCCAATGTCGCCAGTCAGCTTTATGGGCAGGTGGCCAGTCAGGCAGCTCTACAATCAGGCGCCACCCAAATGTACAGCTCCATGAATCCCAACATCTACGGCCAGATGACAGCGAGTCCTGCGGCTGTTGCTGCTGCCGCCGCCGGTTACTCACCTCAAGTTTACACCCCCAGCATGGCCAACTCCCACGTCTATCTGACTGCTGCTCATGGATTAGATATGTCCTCAGCGGGCGGGGTCAACCCCGGCTACACTGTATCTCCAGCGATTTATGGTGGCGCTGGGCAAGCCTACGCTCACATCAGCGCCCTACAGGACCCAACAGCCATCTTTGAGGCAGCCAGGCAGGCACACTACTTCGCCCAGGGCCAGCAGGTGATGGCCGACCAGCAGCAGGTGGCAGCCGCCGCGGCCGCTGCAGCAGCAAAGGGAGAGCGGGATCGCAGTCCGCTACGGAGGTCTCTGCTACCAGACCCCGTGATGAAGCCGTTCATTTACCAGAGAGCCAAGCCGCGGCGACCCCTCCTCCCCACGCCCGCTGGCCGAGCGGCAGAAGAG